TCGTGCTAATAGTCGAAACCATCAATGATATAATTATTATGGAAAGATCATCTTTATAAAAAAATTTAAAGCAATGGTTGTTAAGTCAAATAACTGCAACAAATAGATAAAACAGTTCTTAATACTTTTAACAATTATGACTATATATTTTTATACATTTTGATGATATAACGATTTCATGTGGTGATCTTTACACAACGACATATAATATAAACAAATATGACCATAAACACAAATATTTGTGAATCCGTAACAACACTTTTTTAGGAAGATATCCTTCTCATCGTTTCAGTAGTAAAGTATTATTCTAAGCATATATATCAAGTGCATGGCTGGTGGTATGGGGGTGGTGTATTAATTCTTGATTTTTTCATGTGGAGGTGATGATGTCATGCCTTTGCTGTCATTTGCTAATTTTTAAAACCCTAGCTAGTCCATGCTGTTGTCTGCAGTTAAGATTTTGGAGTTAATAACCAATAGAAATGAAGAAGAAAAGTCACCCAAATTTATATCGTAAGTGTTAAAGAAATCAACCCCATCTCATTGAAAGATCTACACAAATCTAGAATAAAGAATTCTAAAACATTCACTAAAGTTGGTTAGTTAGATTATCCAAGTTAAAGTAGTCCTTTGTAGAAAGGACTAGAATGTTGTTTCTTAAGTTGGTGGAAGAGTCTAGAAAAATGGTGAGGTTTCCACCAACATGCAATATTAGTGTTAGATAATTCTAGCTTAGGAAGTTAGTGGAATTATCTAGATATCTCTAGCATGATGTTTCCATACTTCTCCAAGGTTCCATCTATGCCTATAAATGGAAAAGGCATCCACACCATTTGTAACAAGAAACCAATCAACCAACCAACCAATCAAGCAAGTAGGCAAGTGAGAGTGAGAAGCAAGAGTGAGAGTGAGAAGCAAGAGTAGTCTTGTAGGAGTGTGAGTGGTCTAGAATGTATCTCTAGAAAAAGTAAGTGTCATAGCTTCTAAAGAGTGTCCTTGAGAGTTTGTGTGTTGTAATATTTTGTGTGTAATATAAGTAATTTGTTTACTTGTGTTGTCTTTCCAACACTTATGTTAGAGTTGTGTACTCTAATTTTCCTAACAATTAGTATCAGAGCAGTACGATCAGTGACTGTCTCTAGTGAAGCTTTCGAGAATTGTGAGAGCTTAGTACTTCGTAAGATTGTTGGTTAATCTTATTCGGTTTATTGAAGTTCTGCTAACACAATTAGAGATCTTCAAGTTGTTGAAGGAATTAAGAAGTTAAACAACAAAAATTTACAACACATGGGCGACATGTATGAAGTCTTACCTACAAGACCAATATCTTTGGGATGTTGTTGGCGGTAACGAAGTTACGCAACCGAAAGAAGACACCAACAGCACTTTGCGGAAGTGGAAGATCAAGGCAGGTAAGGCAATGTTTGCCTTAAAAACCACAGTTGAAGATGACATGTCGGAGCACATACGAAAGGCCAAGACACCAAAAGAAGCGTGGGACACCTTTGCCACACTCTTTTCAAAGAGAAACGATACAAGGCTGCAGTTTCTCAAGAACGAGTTGTTATTGGTGGCCCAACGGGACATGACGATTGCCCAGTATTTCCACAAGGTAAAGTCTATTTCCCGTGAAATTTCTGAATTAAATCCTAGTGCAACTATTGTAGAATCCAGGATAAAATGAATAATTATCCATGGATTGAGACTCAAATATCGAGGCTTCGTTGCCGTTGTACAAGGATGGCCGACCCAACCATCACTTGTTGAGTTTGAGAATTTGCTTGCCAATCAACAAGCATTGGCAAAGCCAATGGGAGGGTCTTATTAAAAGGTGAGGAGGAAGCGCTCTACACTAAAAGTAAAGGCAGCTTTAAGCAGCATGCTGATGGTGGATCTAAAAGAAATGGTGACAAGGACAAAGGTCATCAAGGAGGAGGGAGTTCTCGGCTGGGGGGAGCTCCGAAGTATCACAGCAACCGTGATCAGTCCCAGAATAATAAAATATTTGAAGGTAAGTGTTACAATTGTGGAAAGAAGGGCCACATGGCAAATGATTGCTCGTTCAAAAAGCCCATAGAAAGTAATGTCGCCAAATCAAAGAATAAAAGTGAAGATAACTGGGACACCGTGTCATATCTAGCTATAGAGGAAGAATAGGACACTGAAGCATCTTCTTAGTGGTGTTCAGAAAATGAGGTGTTGCCTGGCTCAAGAGATATTGAAGATACGTTGTAGGATGAAATGAGAGACCAAGCTGCCCAAACCCAATCGAGTCTAGATGAGCTCGAGGAATTGCTTGATGGTGACGATGTCAAGCAAAAAGTACCTAAGAGTCCTTGGCAAACTGGTGTGTATCAACAACCAGAAGAAGAAAGACCTAGTGAAGTGAAAGTATCAACTCCACGATCACAACTAAGGAGGTCAACGGGAATACTGAAGCCAAATCCCAAATACGCCAACGCAGCCATAGTAGAAGAAGCAGTTGAAGCTGAGATGCGTAAAGAAGCATCACTGAACTCTGAGTGGCATAAAGCTAGGAGAAGAGGTCGATGCGTTAAAGAAATATCAAACTTGGGATCCAGTGGCAAGGCCAAGAGATGTGAAACCCATATCAAGCAAATGGGTGTTCAAGATAAAGCATTGTCAACCTAAAGTAGAGAGAAGAATGAGATGGTGTTGAGGGGGAGTGTTGAAGAAATCAACCTCATCTCATTGAAAGATCTACACAAATCTAGAATAAAAAATTCTAGAACATTCACTAAAGTTGGTTAGCTAGATTATCCAAGTTAAAGTAGTCCTTTGTAGAAAGGACTAGAAGGTTGTTTCTTAAGTTGGTGGAAGAGTGTAGAAGAATGGTGAGGTTTCCACCAACATGCAAGATTAGTGTTAGATAATTCTAACTTAGGAAGTTAGTGGAATTATCTAGATATATCTAGCATGATGTTTACATGGTTCTCCAAGGTTTCATCCATGCCTATAAAAGGAGAAAGAGTGAGTGGTCTAGAGTGTGTCTCTAGAAAGAGTGAGTGTCATAGCTTCTAAAGAGTGTCCTTGAGAGTTTGTGTGTGTAATACAAGTAATTTGTTTACTTGTGTTGTCTCTCCAACACTTGTGTTAGAGTTGTGTACTCTAATTTTCCCAACAGTAGGTAGAAGATTGGAATAGAGACCAAAAAAAACCACACATAAAATGAACGCAGAGGATTTAATCACATGCGTAGAGAAAGAGTAGGGCTAGCTGTGACTATTTGTTTTGGTAGTGTATAGTGTATAGCAGCTGATGAAATAGACAGCTCATATCAGTGAACTTAAGTCCCTCGTGATTCCTTGAATACCACACAACTACGAACACAAGACTTATCTGCATATATATCAGGTCAGAAATTAATGGGGAAGTGTATATATATATTCTCGCGCATAGGATTGATGGATTACAAGTTTACAACAAACACCATGTAGAGCAAAAGAATGTAAATTTACAGAAAACTAGATTAAGATCCTTTCACAAGATTCAATTTTCAAAAAAACCAAGTGTAAGATCTAATATTTAATTTTGATCCCTTGACTTTATATTCAACTCGGCAACCTTCCATATAGGAGTTGAAGAGTCAATTAATTAAAAGAATTATTTTTAATTGTTCCTAAATCGCCCTTTTCCTATTATTTAGCTAATAATATTGATTATTAGACCTTTGAGCTTTCATGCTTATTTTGAAATGAATAAAAAAAGATATTTTTACTAAATATCTATACGAGTTGCACAATCATGTCTCATTTATGAAGAGCAACATGTCCAACTCACATACACATTTCTCCTTTAAATTATCTCTTATCTCTCTCAATTGTATATTATCATGATTCGTATGTTTCTTGCATTATGGAACAACTAAGGTTTACAAATCTACTTTTTACTTATGAATTGTGTTTATTCGTGTATACCTATGGATTGTGTTTATTCATGTATGATAATTTTTTGTCTATGGAGATTGACAAGTACGTATTTTTAAATCTATGATTTGTGTACTTATATGAAGATACATGGAGTAAAGTTTGCATACCAAAATTACATACCTATGTTTATGCCCTTATGCTTCCGTACATATGCCTATGCATTTATACTTCCGTATTTATGTTTATGCCCTTATACTACCGTACCTATGTCTATGCACTTATACTTCCGTACGTATGGTTATGCACTTATACTTCCGTACCTATGGTTATGCACTTATCCTTCTGTACCTATGCTTATGCACTCATACTTCCGTACCCATGTATAGCACTTTGTTAATGTACTTATAATTTTAATGGGTGTTCTTCTTTTTTCTTATGGAGATGAGAATTGTGTTAGTGATGATGTTTTGCTTTTCTTTTGTAATGTATTTTTGTCATTTCTATTCATAATTAATCAATATAAAAAATTTCATTTATTTTCTTGTACCTATTGGTACTTTCCAAAAATGTTAAAATGTTAGAATTTTGATTTAGGTGTATTAATAGGTGATTTGAGTGTGAAAGTCAATTTCCAATTTTTAGTCTTAATTATGAATTGAATAGGAAAATGTGGATGGCAAGTTTGTAAATAGTACATGTGATAAGAGGCAATTAAATATGACATGGCGTTAAGATTTAAAAATAGGGACTTAAATTGGATGGAGAAAAACCAAGCAGGTTATAATCTAAAAGTAATCTTATTTAGGTCCTAAAATCTAAGAGCCCCGTAAATTTATTTGCGCAAAATATATTGATCGAGTGTTAGAACATGTCTATTAAGTTAGTAGTTGGCAATGCTCACAGTTTGTAATGAAGAGTAGGTCATCTGGAGCTTCCATTATCAGTAAAAAACTCTATGTTCAAAATGATGTCAAAATCAATTTTCAGGTATGCATTAGGCCCACATACCGCCGAATTGATCAGTATAGGGTCATTTTCGGAAAATCCCGACATCGAGGTTACTTGTTCACACATACGTAATTAAGTCAGATTTTCAAAAAAGAGAAAATATCACCATAAGATTTTGAGATTTGATACGTTGAACTATGTATTATAACGGAAAACTTGCAATACAAACGTTGCAAATTACACAAAGTAAAAATAAGCGAGGAGAATACAAAAGCCCCCCAGCCCAATTAAATTTGATCAATAAAACGCCCTAATGAAGAGTAAGAAGAACCACCACCCACCAAGGCTTTCTTGCTCTTTTCACTCATTTCCTTCACTCTTTGCCGTACATCACTGTCAAGCTCCATCACTTGCCTTATCCCTCTTTCTATGTCTTCTGCGCTCACCACCACGTTGCTGTCCTTCCTATAATCCATCTTAATCTCCACTGCCAATCCCAACTCCACCACCAGGTGAAAGGCATTCACGTTTTGCTCCGCGTACATTGGCCATGCGGCAATCGGCACGCCATTCCATAAACTTTCCAACGTAGAATTCCACCCGCAATGTGATACAAACCCTCCGATTGCCGGATGGCCTAGGATGGCCGCTTGCGGGGCCCAACCAATCACCTTCCCAACCGTAGCCGTCCGATCAAGAAACCCTTCGGGCAAGATTGTCTTTAGATCCGCGTAGTCGCTTGGCATAGCTCTCTTGCCCTTTGGTGGGGGCCGGCGAAGGGACCACAAAAACCGATGTCCGCTGTGCTCTAGCGCGCACGCTATCTCTTTCACCTGGGCCTCATCGAAACTTCCCATGCTCCCAAAACACAGGAACACCACCGATAAAAGAGGCTGATCATCGAGCCACCTCAAGATATCTGAGCCCTTATCTTCATGACTACTTTTGAGGTTCAATAAGGGTCCCACTGGATACACGGGTGGGATTTTGACACCAGAATCAAGATAACGAAGAGCATGCGATTCCAGCTCCAAGAATGTATTTACCAAAATACCCTTGGTTTGTTTATACCTGCTGACACTGTTGAGGGTTGATTTGGCGCTCTCCTTGTCCAGAAACGAACCAGGCAAGACTGCGGCAGGGTAAGGGTTGATGAAACTCGGGACGGCCAACTCAGCGGTTGAGCTCGTCAACTCAGTTATATCTATGCCGCCCTCGTCACGAAGCGATTGAAAATGGGACAAAAGTGCGAGAGTCGAAGAGCTGGAGGTGAAGAACATGTAGGAGGGAACCTCAAATTCGTTGGCCACGTCAATTAGGCTTGCGGAAAACATGTCGAGCACGAACCCGGCAAGCCGAGGCTTCGACGTCGACTCAGACTGATCTGACTCGGGGAGTAAGTTGATAACGGCGTCTCTGACGTGAGATTTGTGATTTTCGACGAACATTCTGAAGAAGGACCCGGGATTGGGGACAGTGTCTTGTTTGTCCGGTTGGGCTTCGGGGAGGTTGACGAAGTTGATGCGGTGAGAGATTGAAGAATCAGTGTTGGTGAATGGTTGGTCGTAGGGAAGCTTCATGACGAGGACTGTGATAAACAGTTGGTCGTCCCGAGCAACGAGTTGCCTTGCCATCTCGACCGTTGATACGATGTGGCCGATGCCTGGGGCGGGAACGAACACTAGTTGTGCTGGTCTCTTCATCTTTTGAGAAATGGTAATGAAAAGCTGAGCTGTTTTATTTAGAAAAACTCTTTCATTTTATAGTAGAATGGTATGATGTCATGCTTTCGCTCATAGTTTCTGAATTTCCCACGAGTCAAGATCTTAATTACTTTTCATACTGAAAGGACTTGTCAAATTTGATTTTGGTTCCACCACTAGGCGTAGTCCTGTACGCAATTGTTTTGCCATTATGTATAAGAAGGTCGAAGAGTAAGAATTGAAAACGTATGCCTATGGATAAGTACCACCAATTAAGTTTCACTTCTTATTTTGGTACTTACGTTTCATATTGCCTTGAGTAGAAAGTCGAAGAATTCAAAACCGACATGGTTGACACTCGGTCAAGATTTCAGTTCCGAAGCACACCATGTTCTATACAGTGGTAATCATTTTTTTTTTTTTTTTCTTCTCAAAAGCAACGAAAGATTCATCATCGAATGAGAATCTTGTTGACAATTGGAATGCTGGGGGCTGGGGTTTGTTCACAATTGGAATAGTAGTATAGTCGTGTCAGATCAAGGAAAACCTGCTCCAATACCAAGACATCTAAACCAGGAAGTGGCCACTATACTAATCACAAAACGAAATTTTTTCAACTTAGTTACTTACATAATCCGTCATATGTTGAATTTCATCACAAAAGATTTGTTGCAAGAAATGAAGTCATTCAATTTGCGTAATTTAATACGTAGAGTTTCTAATGTGGAATTGCATTCTTCAACAAGATTTCATTCACGGAAAGCCAATAAAATCAGTCCAATTGTGAGTGTAAAATAATAGTTACGAGTAAACTATGTCTAGTGTTGAAACTCACAATTGTAACCCAAAAAGCAAATATAGTTCATTCATGAAGGAAGAAAACTGTGAAATCGGTAAATCATTTTCATTAGTTGTAAGTAACGGTTCACGTAAAAGAATTTGTTAACTAAATCTGCAAAGCAGGCTAATTACTTGGAAGAGGCATATGGCAACATCTTCAAAGTAGAATGTGAAATCCCGTTCCCAGATGTCACTAATTAATCTTACATATACACAAAATTACTTTATTTTCGTTAACTTTAGAGTTTTAGTTACTTAGCTATAAAGTTTGAATTTTCTTAAATAGTTATTTAAAATCTGTAGACCTTTCAAGATCACCCTTAATATTTTCGAATAAAGCTCGATTCCACTAGCGCGTAGATAAAATCCATTCACAAAATAGAGCTATAACTAAGAAATTACAAGCAACATAAGTACAGTCCAAATAGTAATTTTAGACTTAACTAGAAATTGCTGCCCGCGCATTGCTGCGGAATTAGGAATTGTATGAAAGATTGAGAAGCTGATTCTAAATCATCAAGTTTCCAACTGCGATGCATGACAATCAATTGAAACAATTGAAACGTTTTCTCTAAATTATTAAATAGCATTTAGCACAAACTGACTTGCAAATTCAAATGCAAGAATGCAAATGAAGATAAATTGTCAAATTCCATACATGTCAAACTTCATTTAGGAAATTGAAAACCATAAAAATAAATTGATAAACCCACAAAGATAGTTCACAATTATAAATGTTGAATGCTGATAAAATATATAATACAATGATCTCGGTTTCTCTCATAATTATAGAATGTTGAATGCAAACAACATACCCAAATTACCAATCAAACCAATCAAAATTTCCACTCCTTGGTTAATATCAGAGAATGCCAAATCCAAATCTACGAACCCCACACTGTCAACTGATTCCTTACCAAAATTATGGCAAGTATTGTTATACAATTCCAATAATGTTGTTCGAGTACTCCTTGAACATGCATCATTTGGTATATCCATCCCTCCCTCCCTCTCTCTCTCTCTCTCTCTCTCTCTCTCTCTCTCTCTCTAAAAGTCATTGTTAACAGTAATTATATGATAACAGGCTAAAAGAACTGTCAACTACGTTATCAAGGAAAAACAAATGTCAATGAGAAATGAAGATAAAGAACCTTTACTGGTGTGCTCGAGAAATTGAGAATCGTTATCTGCAAACGGCCTCCAATCGGATCACCTCTAAAATTCTAAGGTGCTACAGCTACTTTAAGAATAGCTTATGTCCAATACAACCCTGCAAGAATAGTCATTCTTCAATATTTAAGCAGGATTTGAAACAGGGCATTAAGATAAGGTTACAAATATAGTAAGCTCCCAATTGAGTATTTAAATGGAAGAGATATGTGAAGGCAGTAAAAGAACCCAAAAATATCAATGTTTCAAACGAATATCTGTCACAAAATTATTGCACTCGAACTACCCTAATAACATGTCATGGGCATACTCCCATGCTTATCTGAAAAGATATCGTTGGTTACCGTTGACAATATATGGCATTCTCTTAAATTGAAAGCGTAAACAATGAAGAATGCACATGAACAACACACAATTTCTTTGGAAAACAGTTTTACAATGCAGTAGTTTTGAATTGGAAATTCAAAATGAACTTAGTTCAATATACAAAATTCAATAATTTAATCAAATCAAGACAAATGAGCAAAATTGTCTTATATTAAACACATAGTTGGAGCTTGGAACGCATAAAATGAAAAAGAAAATTAGACCTTGCTTTCCCCAACTAATTTTCAAATGTATCTGTGTTAATTTGAAACCAATATTTCCAATTAGAAAGTGTAGAGTCGTTGATATGTAAATTGTTTAACCTTGAGGCTTGCGATAACCACAAATGTTGGCGGGACTAATTGTTGCAACACAATGGAACTGAAGTTCTTTGCAACATCAATCCATAGTGTAACTTTTTTTTTTTTTTTTTTCTTTCTCTTGAATCAATAGACATAAACAAAAAAAAGTTAGTAAGAAGTATTGTATTTACAACAGTTGGAGATGATTTGTCAACATGCTTTTACCTAATATTTTGAATGTAGATTTACACTTGTTTTCAAGCCTTCTAATCAGCCACTTTTTGTTCTAACTCTTGTATTGCATTAATGTGTCCAAGAACATCTTGTAATCTCAAAGAAGCTTATGATAATTAATATAATAAAACCTAAACAAAATACCAAATTCAACTCCAATATAACGAAAAACTAAATTAACTTGTGGTGAATTGATGGCTTACTTTTTACAGCAATTCTGTAATTACAAATTCTTCTGTTAAATTACGGTGACTGGGAGATGTTGAAGCTGCATAAGCTATTTGAATTATGCCTACTATAATCAACCAGGGAAGAATCCTTTGTAACCAAATAGAGGTATTGGAGGACTGATACGCAAGAAAGCTGATATGCATTCTATAAACAACATAACTCTACCAAGTTCACAATTCTCTTAAATTCCACTAAAAAAATCTACCAAACGGAAAATTCACTTGGAATTTACTGTTAAGCCAAACTACCAAGAAATTGGAACTTATTTTGTAAAATAATTAACCTTTTCAAGTTGAAGCAGCTCCAATCTTGGGGTTGGCGACCTCAAGCATTGTGGCAACTCCTTTGTTCTCATCATCCAAAATTGCTCCTTTTATATAGAGTATCCATCAATGCATTGCTGCTCAACACCCAAATCATCAAATGCGAGAAAAAGCATATTCTAAGGTTTAAATGGAATTCCACAAATTCCCCAAATGGGCAACTCTAGAATTGTAAAGAAATTGTCTTTATCAAATCTTCAATTAATTATAGCAAAACCCAAAACTCAAAAAGTTTTAATCAGCTTACATGACCACTCATCAGCAAGCTCAGAGCAACAAAACCCAACAAACCCAAAATATTCGAATAAATCCCACACAAAAAAAATCTACTTAAAAAAACCTACAAACAACAAATAACTCACTACTTTTTCATACGAATTCGAACAGAGGTATAGAACATACCAATTTGAAGCAAGAAATCTCAGTGAAAATCCTCGAGGAAGCCACATTGATCTCAAGAAGCAGAGAAAATTAGGGATTTTTTTTTTCTGACTCCAAATCATCCTTAAGACGGCGTTATTCCGTCGAAAAAGAAGGAAAAAAAAAAACCAAATTAGGGATTTTTTTCAGTGAAGAAAAAGAGAAAATTAAAAGAAGAGAAAAGATCGTTAGGCTTTTATTTCAACTTTGGGGTTTCCAATTTTCGATCTCTCTAGGCAAAGGAACAGAGATAAAGCAACAACAGTAGATTGAGTAAGGGGAAGAGCGGCGGTGGTACTTGCAAAGCTCGAATGTTCGTGCATGCAATTAGAATAATTATTTATCATATGTTTTGATGAGGATTATGTATAATTACCTGTTACCCCAGCGAGGGTGAAGCTCAAGAACCAGAACCTGTTCTTCAAAGGTGATGTTGGCACGACGAACATCGGGGAGGAGATAACTGAGCCACCGTAATCTGCAGCTCTTTTCTTTTCAGACCTGGGTTTGGTTGCAAAATTGAAAACACATGGTCAACTCGTTAGGCAATAATTGGTAAAAGTAAGAGGGATATGAGGAAATATAGAGATAAAAAAATACCCAAGAGAAGGAGCGGAGGAGAAGGAATGAGGGAGGAGCCTGGACGGGGAGAAGTTGTCCAACGGAGGAGAAGGGAGGAGATGCCTCGAACGGAGGAGGATGTTGCGGTTCGCAGTTCTGAGAGAGTGAACCGGAGAGGTTGATCGGGAAATCAACGGAAAAGCTTCGTTCTTGAAACAAATGGAAAGGCCAAGCTTTTCCATTCCCACGATGACCAACACGTGTACAGAAGGGGTAAATTAGTAAATGAACTGTACAACGGAAGGAAAAAGGCTGCATATGCCTCACAATTGAAGGGCAAAACCGTCATTCCACTGGTCATCCACAGTACTCAACCCCTACGGGTTTTAGTATACATGATATAAATAGCAGGTCCAAAATTGTGGAAAATGATGTGGACAGCTGACCCGGGCGCGACCCGTTTACCCCTGCGCGAACCGACTTCAAACCCGTTTCCTGCAGCTTTTTCCGACGCCTACTCGAGGGTTTTTCCGGCGAATCGAAGCCACCCACCGCCAGAAAACAACTCAGCGTCACCCCGACTTTCATTTCCACCCAAATTCGACTGGGTTCGTTCGCGGTTTCACTACGAACGAACATGGTCGTCTTCCCCGAGCTGAAGACGGCGATCTGGTCGTTCCTGACACTTTCTGACGTCATCCACCACCACCACCTGACTCACGTCGACCCCAGAAACAAAATCCTAACTTCCATTTGGGTATTGGTGCAGCGAGCTTCTGGCCACAAAAAAACCAATAGAGATGAAGAAGGAAAGTCACCAGAATTTATTACAAGTTGTGAGTAGAAGACTGTAATAGAGACCACAAAAAAACCACACACAAAATGAACGCAGAGGATTTAATCACATGCGTAGAGAAAGAGTGGGGCAAGCTGTGACTATTTGTTTTGGCAGTGTATAGTGTATAGCAGCTGATGAAATAGACAGCTCACATCAGTGAACTTAAGTCCCTCGTGATTCCTTGAACACCACACAACTACGAACACAAGACTTATCTGCATATATATGAGGTCAGAAATGGAGAAGTGTACATATATTCTCGCGCATAGGATCGATGGATTACAAGTTGACAACAAACACCGTGTAAAGCAGAAGAATGTACATTTGTCTGCCCAAAATAAATTGATCGAGTGTTAGAACATGTCTATTAAGTTAGTAGGTTGCAATGCTCACAGTTTGTAATGAAGAGTTGGTCATCTGGAGCTTCCATTATCAGTAAAAAAACTCTAAGTTGAAAATGACGTCAAAATCAATTTTTAGGCATGCATTAGGCGCACATACCAGCTGAATTCATCAGTACAGGGCCATTTTCTGAAAATCTCGACATCGAGGAACTATGTATTATAATGGAAAACTTACAATACAAACCTTGCAAATTACACAGCGTGAAAATAAGCGAGGAGAATATAAAACCCCCCAACCCAATTAAATTTGATCAATAAAACGCCTTAGTGAAGAGTAAGAAGAACCACCATCCACCAAGGCTTTCTTGCTCTTTTCACTCATTTCCTTCACTCTTTTCCTTACATCACTGTCAAGCTCCATCACTTGCCTTATCCCTCTTTCTATGTCTTCTGCGCTCACCACCACGTCGCTGTCCTTCCTATAATCCATCTTAATCTCCACTGCCAATCCCAACTCCACCACCAGTTGAAAGGCATTCAAGTTTTGCTCCGCGTACATTGGCCATGCGGCAATCGGCACGCCATTCCATATACTTTCCAACGTAGAATTCCACCCGCAATGTGATACAAACCCTCCGATTGCCGGATGGCCTAGGATGGCCGCTTGCGGGGCCCAACCAATCACCTTCCCAACCGTAGCCGTGCGATCAAGAAACCCTTCGGGCAAGACTGTCTCTAGATCCGTGTAGTCGCTTGGTATAGCTCTCTTGCCCTTAGGTGGGGGCTGGCGTAGGGACCACAAAAACCGATGTCCGCTGTGCTCTAGCGCGCATGCTATCTCTTTCACCTGGGCCTCACCGAAACTTCCCATGCTCCCAAAACACAGGAACACCACCGATAAAGGAGGCTGATCATCAAGCCACCTCAAGATATCTGAGCCCTTATCTTCATGACTACTTTGGAGGTTCAATAAGGGTCCCACTGGATACACGGGTGGGATTTTAACACCAGAATCAAGATAACGAAGAGCATGCGATTCCAGCTCCAAGAATGTATTTACCAAAATACCCTTGGTTTGTTTGAACCTGCTGACATTGTTGAGGTTTGATTTGGTGCTCTCCTTGTCCAGAAACGAACCAGGCAAGACTGCGGCAGGGTAAGGATTGATGAAACTCGGGACGGCCAACTCAGCGGTTGAGCTCGTCAACTCAGTTATATCTATGCCGCCCTCGTCACGAAGCGATTGAAAATGGGACAAAAATGCGAGAGTCGACGAGTTGGAGGTGAAGAACATGTAGGAGGGAACCTCAAATTCGTTGGCCACGTCAATTAGGCTTGCGGAAAACATGTCGAGCACGAACCCGGCAAGCCGAGGCTTCGACGTCGACTCAGACTGATCTGACTCGGGGAGTAAGTTGATAACGGCGTCTCTGACGTGAGTTTTGTGATTTTCGACGAACATTCTGAAGAAGGACCCGGGATTGGGGACAATGTCTTGTTTGTCCAGTTGGGCTTCGGGGAGGTTGACGAAGTTGATGCGGTGAGAGATTGAAGAATCATTGTTGGTGAATGGTTGGTCGTAGGGAAGCTTCATGACGAGGACTGTGATAAACAGTTGGTCGTCCCGAGCAACGAGTTGCTTTGCCATCTCGACCGTTGATACGATGTGGCCGATGCCTGGGGCGGGAACAAACACTAGTTGTGCTGGTCTCTTCATCTTTTGAGAAATGGCAATGAAAAGCTGAGCTGTTTTATTTAGAAAAACTCCTTCATTTTATAGTAGAATGGTATGATGTCATGCCTTCGCTCATAGTTTCTGAATTTCCTACGAGACAAGATCTTAATTACTTTTCATACCTGAAGGACTTGGTCATCAATAGCTAGAAGATAAAACAAAAGGTTGTCAAATTTGATTTTTGTTCCACCACTAGTCCTAGTTCTGTACGCAATTGTTTTGCCATGAGTAGAAAGTTGAAGAATTGAAACCGACATGGTTCATACTGGGTCAAGATTTTAGTTACTAAGCACACCATGTTCTATGCAGTGGTAATCTTTTCTTCTTTTTTTCTCCAAAGCATCGAAAGATTCATCATCGAATTAGAATCTTGTTCACAATTGGAATGCTGGGGTTGGAGTTTGTTCACAATTGGAAGAGTAGTATAGTCGTGTCGGTTCAACGGAAACCTGCTTCGATATCAAGACGTCAGAGCCAGGCAAGCAGTCACTATACTAATCACAAAACGAAACTTTCTCAATTTAGTTACATGCACAATCCTCCATATGTTAAATTTCATCACAAAAGATTTTGTTGCAAGAAATGAAGTCATTCAATACGTGTAATTTAATATGTAGAGTTTCTGATGTGGAATTGCATTCTTCAACAGGATTTCATTCACAGGAAGCCAATAAAATCAGCCCAATTGTGAGTGTAAAATAATAGGTACGAGTAAACTATGTTTAGTGTTGAAACTCACAATTGTAACCCAAAAAGCAAATATAGTTCATTCATGAAAGAAGAAAACTGTGAAATCGGCAAATCATTTTCATTAGTTGTTAAGTAACGGTTCACGTAAACGATTTGTTAACTAAATCTGCAAAGCAGGCTAATTACTTGGAAGAGTTGAAGAAGTCATTAACTAAACAAGAAGTCATTTTGCAATCTATCTTTCACGCTTGTACCATCTCAATTAGAAAAGCGTGCGGTTAGGATTTGTCAAACGACTGGTGTAAGATGCAGCGTGACACAATTGTTTCAAAATTATATGAACTGACCAAATTTATATGGCAACATCTTCAAAGTCATCAGAGATATTGGAATAATAAAAAATACATTTGACAACACAGTACTTTAATGCATGTAATTGACTAATAGTGACATGTAAACAACACAAATAAAAGATAACAAATTTTCCTAGAAAATTTTCTTAAACTTTTTGAATTTTCAAAGTTCTCCTTAAGAATGATCAATAATCTTTGACAAATCAAAGGGGAAATTTGATCAACAAAACGTCCGAAAGAATTGTAAGAGGAACAATCAACCATCAAGGCTTTCTTGCTCTTCACCATGTGCTTCAACCTTTTCCTCACATCACTATCCTTCTCCATCATCTCCTTTATCCCACGCTCTCGTTCATGTGCCTTAACATTCGGACTCTCACCGTAAAAGTCCTTCCTGTACTAGATATTAATTTCCACGGCCAATCCCAATTCCATCACCAACTCAAATGCATTGTTAGCTGCGTACAATGGCCACATGGCAACCGGCACACCAAACCATAGGCTTTCCAACGTAGAATGTGAAATCTCGTTCCCAAATGTCACTAATTAATCTTATATATACGCAAAATTACTTTATTTTCGTTAGCTTTAGAGTTTTAGTTACTTAGCTATAAAGTTTGAATTTTCTTAAATAGTTATTTAAAATCTGTAGACCTTTCAAGGTTACCCTTAATATTTTCGAATAAAGTTCGATTCCACTAGCGTGTAGGCAAAAATCATTCACGAAATGGAGCTGTAACTAAGAAATTACAAGCAACATAAGTACAGTCCAAATAGTAATTTTAGACAATATAAATTGCAAGTCCAAAATTGTGGAAAAGGAAGTGGGCAGCTGACCCGTTTACCCCCGCGCGAACCGACTTCAAACCCGTATCCTGCAGCTTTTTCCGACGCCTACTCGAGCGTTTTTCCGGCGAATCGAAGCCACCCACCACTAGAAAACAACTCAGCCTCACCCCAACTTTCATTTCCACCCAAATTCGACTGGGTTCGATCGCGATTTCACTACGAACGAACATCGTCTTCTTCCCCGAGCTCAAGACGGCGACTCGCCGTTCCTGCACTTTCTGACGTCATCTACCCCGACCCCAGAAACAAAACCCTAACTTCCATTTGGGCATTGGTGCAACGAGCTTCCGGCCAAACGAGGCTTTTCACGGCAATTTCATTGTTCTCCGTCCAGTTTCAGGCCCCGGCACAGGTATGATATTGGGAAATACTTGGAAATCAAGCCAGATAATTAAAAAGGTTATCAAATTTGATTTTGGTTCCACTACTATTCGTAGTCCACTATGCAATTGCCTTGCCATTATGTATAAGTTGGTGAAAGAGTAGGAATTGAAAACATATATCCACGGGGATTAGCACTACCAATTAAGTTTCACTTTTCTATTTTGGTACTTACCATATATTTCATATTGTCTTGAGTAGAAAGTTGAACAATTGAAAATCGACCCGATGCACGCACACTCGGTCAAGATTTCAGTTACTTAGCACACCAATGTTGTTCTAGTTTAATCAACACAGAATCTGGCATGTACTGTTCATTTGAGGATAACCGATCATGTTTGAACGATAGGATGGGGAGGGGAGGAGAAATCTGGCATGTGTTGTTCTTATCATAGGAGGCCTCTGTGTATTAAGAGTGAAATTACTTAATATAAGTTGTAAATTTTGATCTATCAAGTTTTAACTCTGAGATTACATTCTTCAAAACCATTTTAGTGGACCATAAGTGCAACCAATTCGACATTGATAAAGCAACGAAAGATTCATCATCGAATCAGAATCTTGTTCACAATGAAATGTTGGGGTTGGGGTTTGTTCACAATTGAAACGGTAATAAGGTCATGTCGGGTCAAGGGAAACCCGCAGTGATACCAACACATCAGAGTCAGGCAAGCGGCCAACTACTAACCACAAACAAAACTTTCTCAACTTAATTACATGCACAATCCAACATATGTTGTATTCTATCCAAAAAAATTCTATCCAACATATGTATTCAATACATGTAATTTAATACATAGAGTTTCCAATATGGAATGATTCTTCAACAAGATTTCACTCACGGAAAGCCAATAAAATTGGGAGTTTTAACAACACTCCCGGTACTGTTCACTTTTAACGAAAAACCACATTTTCAATAAGATTAATTTTTTTTTAGACTTTCGTTAGTTTTTTTTATAAAATTAACCCAATTGTGAGTATAAAATAATAGGCACAAGTAAACTAGGTCTAGCGTTGAAACCCACGAATTGTAACCCAAAAAAACAAAATAGTTCTTGTGAAATCGGCAAATCATTTTAATTAATTGGAAGAATTTGAAGAAGTCAATAACTAAACAAGAAGTAATTTTGCAATCTTTTCAGGCTTGTACCATTTCAATTAGAAAAGTGGCTATGATTTGTAAACTACTGGTGTGACATGTGTGACACGATTGTTTCGGAAATATGTGAAGCGACCGAATGTATAAGACATGGATTCTCTCCTAATCTAATTGTCCTAATCCTGAGGATCCATTAATCTGGACCGTTCAAATTTGATCTAACCGTTAAAATTATTATAACTTTTAAATTGGACCCTTGTTTGTAGTTATTGGATCAAATTTTAACAGCCCGAATTGATGGATCCTCAAGATTAGGACAATTGGATCCGGAGAGGATCCATGTCCTGAATGTATATGACAATATGTTCAAGGGCGTCAGAGATATTGAAGCAATAAAAAATACATGTAACACTACAAAAAATATCTTAATGCGCGTAATACAATAATAAAATGTAAACAATCTTTATGTATAAAGCCAACAATCTCTTTTGGGGTCACAAGCTTCACTTAAAAAAAAAATCAAAAATCAAAAATCAAAAGCAATCCAAAATAATGCAGGGGTATTTTTGTCATTTTAAAAGTATTTTTTAAAAATAATTAATTCTTTTTGTACATGTTTTTTGTTAAATTAGTAGATGCATTGTCGTATGTTGAATATCTCCAATTAATTTGAATTGTAGGTTAGAGATATTATTTGCATCACATTACCAGCCAAGATAATTCACATTAAAAGATAATTATTATGATAACCATAATATTATCCTTTAACAATAACAAAATTATCTTCACTTTTCAATTCGATGGTTGGAAGCTATGCTCACTCAACGGCCTTGATTGCACGGGCCGATGATGTAAATTTGGGTCCAAACACACGCGCATAATAATGTGATTGAATTAGTTGTCAAATGATTTTTTTTCTTGAACAAACGATACTATCTTCACTGAAGGGGAGGGGGTAGGCTTAGCCTTACAATGGGCTAGCAATAATGTGATTCAATCTGTTGTTTATTAAATATTATTTTTTTCTATTCTTAATGTAAATGCAATAGAATGTAGATGGAAATTGAAAGGCTGATTTTATTATGTGAATTCAACTGCTTTGATTGGTTTGTGAGGGATTTTTTCTAGTAGGATTTAAGATTATTCATTTACTTCAAATACTTAACTTTCCTTTTGTCAATTCAGGCATATAAATACATTTACAATGTGTAAACTGAGCGTAATATGCCATGATTAAAAAAAAAATATCTTCTGCACGCGCGTGAGCGTGTGCATGAAGGCTAGTAAAAATAAAGGCAACATATTTTCCTAGAAAAATTTAACCCTTTGAATTTCCAAAATTCTCCTTGAGAATGATCATAATCTTTGACAAATCATAGGGAAATTTGATCAAGAAAACGTCCCAATGAATTGTAAGAGGAGCCACCAACCATCAAGGCTTTCTTGCTCTTCTCACTCATGTCCTTCACCCTCTTCCTCACATCACTATCCTTCTCCATCAACTCCTTTATCCCTCGCTCTAGTTCATGTGCCTTCACAACATTTGGGTACTCACCGTACAAGTCCCTCCTATACTCCATATTAACTTCCACGGCCAATCCTAATTCCCTCACCAACTCAAATGCATTTAGTTGTTGCTCCGCGTACACCGGCCAAGCGGCGACCGGCATGCCAAACCATAGGCTCTCCAACGTGGAATTCCACCCGCAATGGGACACGAACCCTCCAACGGCCGGGTGGGCTAGGATCGCCACTTGCGGAGCCCAACCTATGACCTTCCCAATCCCAGCTGTCCGATCGAGGAACCCTTCAGGTAGGACTGCCGTAGGATCCGAATAGTCATTAGGGGAAGCGATAATCCCCTTTGGTGGGGGCTGGCGCAGCGACCACAAGAAGTGATGCCCACTTTGCTCCAGCCCCCAAGCTATCTCCCTCACCTGGTCCTCACCAAAGCTTCCCATGCTCCCAAAGCACAGGAACACCACAGATGAATCGGGCTTGTCATCTAGCCACTCCAATATATCCGACTTCTGCTGAGCCTGCTTCGAACCCTCTTCGGTTTCACTGCTCTTTAGGTTCAGAATAGGTCCCACAGGGTACACAGGTGGGGTCTTACCATCAGAAAGTGAATCAAGGGCGTGTGATTCCAACTCAACGAACGTATTTATCAGAATACCCTTGAGTTCTCTAAACCTGTTGGCATAGCCAAGGAAAGCTTTCGCACCATCCTTGTCCAAAAGGACGCTTGGCAAAACTCTAGCCGGAACCGAGTTGACAAAAGTCGGCAGTGTCAACTCAGCATCCGAGTCTTTGAACTCGCTTACGTCCTTGCCATACACGTCGCGAATCGTTTGGATATTAAGCATCAGCCCGAGAAACCCGGCCGGCGAAGTGAAGAACATGTACGTAGGAACTCCGAACTCATTGGCCACGTCGATCATTGTCGTGCAAAACATGTCGATGACAAACCCGGCAACCCGAGTCGACTCGGACTCTGACTCGGCGAGTTTGGAGACAGCATCTTTGACGTAGGGTTTGTGGCTCTCGACGAATTGGCTGCGGAAGGCGTTGAGACTTTTGCGCCTGTCGATGTCGGAGGCGGCCTGTGGGAGGGTGATGAAGTTGACACGTGACAACACGGGAGAGGATTCGAGGGAGGATATGTAGGCCTCTGTACCCTTGGATTCGAAGGGGAGCTTCATGATGAGGACTGTGATGAAGAGTTTCTCGTCTCGAGAGACAAGGAGCTTTGCCATCTCCACGGCGGAGATGAGGTGGCCGGTGCCGGCAGAGGGGATGAAGACGAGTTTCGTTGGTTGCTTCATTTGGAAATTTATTAGGAGTTTGATAGCCTGGAGGAAATGAAAATTTGATTAGCTGATCGATGTACAAGCTTCTTTTACTTAGATGTGTGTCTGTGTATGTATATACTATACACACACACAATATAGATGTAAATGATGGAGGTGATGATCTCATGCCTTTGCTGGCATTGGTTATATATGACAATGACTTGAAAACCAAGTAAAGGACCTTTGGGGTCAGAAAAAGTTCCATGCATGCCTCTTGGCGACTAATTTAGGCGGTCATAATGCGTAGAGAAATTGGAGTGGTGCTCACGGGAATAGATAAGTTGTGTGAATATTCGTGAAAAATTATTAATAAAAGAATACGACAAATTCTGTAAATGTTGGATAGAACGAGAGAGTTCCTTCGTCTTTAAATCCAAATACATAATATATATTTTATTCATATTTTAAGACTATCCAAATAATTACAAATAAAAACTCGAAAATAGATCCACGACTTGTAGTGGAACTTATATAATAGAGGTGTACCCTAATAATTACTTTTTTTATATTTATGAATCAACGTTATTATCTACTTTAAAAGGAAGAGAGTGAGCGTAGCGTCATAATAATCTATCAATACTGTGGTTCAAATATATCTTTAATGAAAATCAAATCTAAAAGCTATTACTTACAAATAAAAAAAAAGTAAGAATATCATTAAATAATAATACGAAGTGGCTAATAATCGCTTTTTTAATAGTTACATAAAACATAATATTTCTAACTATTACTCGTCAATCAAACGGACTTAAGTTGATTTCATTTTTAGGCAATTTTTTTTTTCTTTTTAATTTGCTTTATTTCTCTATCCTCACTCCCACGAGCTTATTCTTCTTCGTTCCATATTTTTCTTATATACATTTCCAATATTTTAAATGGAATTAATAAGAGTGACACAGTAACACGAGGGATTAGGGGACGAAAATGTTATTTGACCTGAGCTGTGAAAGAGCAAATTTGCTTTTTTGACCTGGGGGAGTCGTAGCCGACAAGAATACTGCAGTCTGCGGCTGAAGAAAATGACAGATTCCACTTGTTTGTAATTCTATGCACGTCAGCAGGGTTGAGGAAACAACACAGCATGCACATTTATCAGTTCAACAAATTTAAAATCATCGAAACAATTTCTCTCTTGCCACGTGGTATATTCTTATTTACTGGTTAGTGATTTCCGTACTGTCTATTTTTTACATTTTACACTCATTCGTTTAGATTTTTCTTTTATTTACTACAGAAGGTTTAAAAGGGGTCTAGAAATTGCTCCCGATAATGTGTACACATGACTACAAGGGTTTGATTAAAATGGAAATTATAAACTGCTCATCATGTATGTGTGACTAAAACAATACAAGTATATACTAATTAGTCACAGGAAGATCTGATCAATGAAACGGCCCAATGATGAGTGTGAGGAACCACCATCCATCAACGCTCTCCTGCTCTTCTCACTCATCTCCTTCACCTTCTTCCTCTGCTCACTCTCAACCTCCATCACCTCCCTTATCCCTCTCTCTATCTCCTCCGCCCTCACCACCACCTCCCCTTCCCTCCTGTAATCCATCTTAATCTCCACCGCCAGTCCCAACTCCCTCACCAGCTCAAACGCATTCAACTGCTGCTCCGCGTACACTGGCCAAGCCGCAACCGGCACCCCATACCAGAGACTCTCTAGGTTCGAATTCCACCCGCAATGGGACACGAACCCTCCCACCGATGGATGGCCCAAGACCGCAACTTGCGGGGCCCATCCTATGACCTTCCCTATCCCGGCCGTGCGGTCGAGGAACCCTTGGGGCAGGACTCCGCTGGGATCAGCATAATCACTGGCGAATAGAAGCTCCCCCTTTGGCAGGGGCTGGCGTAGGGACCACAAGAATCGGAGGCCGCTGTGCTCAAGCGCGGTGGCTATCTCCTTCACTTGGTCCCCACCAAAGCATCCCATGCTCCCAAAGCACAGGAACACCACCGACAAAGGAGATTGATCATCAAGCCACTCCAAAATTTCCTTCTTTTTGGCCAGCTCCGAGCCTTCAGGGTCACTCTTCAAGTTTAGTATGGGCCCTACAGGGTACAGCGGCGGGGTTTTGCCGTCGGAAAGAGCACGAAGGCAGTGGGATTCTAGCTCCATGAAGGTGTTTACCAAAATCCCCTTGGTTTCTCTGAACCTTCTGGCATGATTGATGAACTCTGTGGCGCCATCCTTGTCCAGATACACGCCAGGCAAGACTCTAGCAGGCATTGGGTTGACAAGACACGGCAAAACCAAATCAGGATCCGATTCCTTCAGCTCAGTGCAGTCCTTGCTCTGCTCGTCATGAAGGGTTTGGAGGTGGAGCACAAGCCCGAGAAAGCCTGCGCCGGACTGTGAAGAAGACGTAGGTAGGAACCCCAAACTCATTGGCCACGTCTATCATGGTAGTGCAGAACATGTCGATGACAAACCCGACGAGCCTGGGCTTGCAATCAGACTGAGGGGACTCACTAGTGAGCTTCGCGACAGCATCTCTGACGTGTTGTTTGTGATTTTCAACGAATAGCTTCAGGAAGAGGTTAATACCTTTCGTCTCTACGGCTTCCTCCGGGAGGTTGATGAATCTGATACGTTCGGCGTCGTCAGCACCCTTGAGCTTGAAGTTCGACTCCAAGGGCAGCTTCATGGTGAGCACTATGATGAAAAGCCGGTCGTCTCGAGCAACCAAGAGCTTTGCGATCTCGAACGCGGACGCAAGATGGCCAATACCTATGGCAGGAATGAACACTAGCTCTGCAGCTTGCTTCATTTTGGATACGAAAAAAAAGTGAGATGGAGATAACTACAGATTATCGGTGCTAAGTTTAAGTGTTCACTTGTGAATGGTGAGATAGTATCAAAACTCTATATAAATAAATATATATATATATATATATATATTACACGTAAGTATGTATGTGTATACATATCAAAGCATGCATATGGATTGTGGTGTTTTATATAACAAATATAAACCACTCACAATTCTTGGAGCTTTCCTTTGGCCCAACCACGAAAGGACGTACAAAGCTTTCATGTTATCTTTTTAGTAACTAGTCTTTCACAAAGGTGGGACACCAAGCTAAAGAACAAATGTGGGGCCCTCCGACCATTGTTTCGGCTGTAATACCGGCACAAAAAGACAGCTGCTGGTGACCTTTGAGATGATAAATCCTGCATTGCCACACACATAACGATGTTTATATGTATAATGTACGTAAGGAAATCGGTTTCTTCCGTTAAGGGAAAAAAGGAGAAGCACCAAAGTCAATTGAAGTAGAAAGTTGGAGAAGAAAATCTCCATACGGCTCAACAAAGTTAAAATAAGCCAAAGCATTTTTTTAAGTCCTGGCAGATTATTGTATATAAATGAACCTTTCGTCGGACAAGAAAATGAAAATGGATCGTAATAAAAACGTTAAAAGAGTCAAAATAAAAAAATAAAAAAGATAGGATCATAAAATAATCATGAAAATTAGAGCTTTTATGTGTTGTATCAGAGAACCGAATGAGATTCAGAAAAGAAAGTGGAACAGAATAAACAGAGAAGAATACCTAGTGAAAGGACTTCCTCCCATTTCTGCACTGAGGAAAATGTCCGTCTGCAGCTAAAGCACTAGAACTTCCCTTCAATGGGCAGGGCACAACGGAGTTGTCTGTTTTAGTTTTTGATGGAGATTTCCGCGGCCAGATGTGGTTTCCTCATGTGCCCAGTAACATGACCAAATTACAGATTTTCTTTCATAGGATTTTAACCAATTTAACCTTCAAAAGAACGAAAAGTTTAATATTTTCCTCATTCATGACTGTATGTGACTCAGTAACGTGAGAGCGTATATACATACTTCATTTTAACAATAAACGTATCAGGAAAGTATAAGACTGCAAGGTAACATATGATATACTGGCCTTACGACTCTCTATCTTATCCACTGCAGAGAACACATTACTGAACTCCATGGCAAACATTTATGATGGCCTTGATCGGAAATATATCCCATGCTGCAAATTCACAGTTATATACTTTACTGCCAGTTTAGCAAGCATCCTTCCTAAATTATCATTGCCCAACCAATTCTAAAAATTATTATTGCCTGCTTCACAAGTTCCATATAGAATCCAGATGGCATATTCCATATTTGGGTTGTTGTACGAAAGCGACAGATATGAGATCAATACATAAGCAAGGCAAAGTTTGATAAATACTGAAATCCAAATAACCCAAGGATTTATACCATAGTTGAGAATAAGCCTACGTTTAGTTTGGAGACGGCAAGGAAATTCCAGTAATAAGAAAGGGGATTACATAAGTGTTTTACATCTCACAAACCCAAATCCCACATGCACCCAAGCTTACACAATGTGGAACCAAAAGTAAAGGAACTATGTCCTACATCATTACATATTCATCAGTGTTTTGCCTCTGCCAATACAAAGCTTCAATACACTGATGAACAACACAAGGAACTTTGGGTGTAGTATCAATAAATGGACTCTTATTCAACCACTTCTTAACTGCTCTCGGTGCAAAATTAAATGCATATAAACAAGTGTGGTAGAGAAGTCAAATAAAAGAAAATCAGTGTACCCTAGGAAGTCATATTGAACGCGCAGATAGTAGATACCAGCCTTACAAACATAGGTGACTTGAGTGTTTTAAAGCTTAAGTAACAAAATTCAACTATAGCCAATTTGTCGGCAAAGCCACATAAATATTGCCAACATGGGTCTCATAACTGAGGCAGTTATAATAGCCTTCACGGGGAGACACAGCACAAAACATTAAGATTTTCAAGAGTTCTAAGTACATCAACCAATATAATACGACAATACGAGTCACCCACGAGTAAGCCAAATGGAAGAAAATAAACTACTCGTGCAGGGTATTCCATGAAGATCAAAGTATCATTTAACTAAGCATGGCCATGCGCAACACTATAATATACAGAAATCATGCTTTTTTAACTGACCTGAATATATGTAGGAGGCGTCTTTGAGATGGCAGCTTATTAACTTGCTATGGCTCAACCGCTAGTGTCCAAAGTTCATACCAAAGACCATGTGGACAGACTTAAGCGCCATCTAAATAGAATACAACTTAGACAACTGCTGACCTGCAGCAAAAGCTAAATTAGCAAGAAAGTAGATTCCAGCTGCAGATACAAACATCACAATACATCACATAAACCTAAGATGAAGCTAAACTCAATAAAAAGACATGCCCACTGACTTGCCAGAAACCAGCCAGTCTAGTTTAGGAAAATTCACCCTTTTAATCCAGTCCTTAACTATGTATTTTTAGGAATCTTGAGAAAATGCATATCATAGACGATTAAAGTTGAATCGACAATCACAGACGATAAACTTACATGAAGGGCAGTTTTCCATGGATAGATAGTTCTTGTTATGATCCTGCTAAGGAGTTGCGGATGCCGCAATGCAAGCATCAAATGGTGGATAATTTGCATGAAGACTTGTCGAAATAGTTTACCACATTGAATGACAGCACAAGCTGGGAAAAGATCTTTTTCAAGAATTCTTCATCAGTCATAAGGTTCCAAGATTGCATCTAAGGAAGAATTGAGAGAAGGCCTATAACCAGTATCTTTCATCTTCACAGTCAACTCCTCCAATATATCATATATCTCATCACCCTGAGGATGGTTTTGGTCCCTGGATGCGAAACAGTTCAAAAAACCGCTAGTATCAATCCAACTACATCCAGTCTCCTTCCTCAAACCTTTTTCCCTCATTTGTTTCCTCACATTATCCACGTTTTCCCACTTGCCTTCCTCGGCATACATATTTGAGAGCAAAACATGGTAGCCCGTTTTGCCATTTGCTGCCTCTAGTTCAAGCAATTTCCCAGCAACAATCTTTCCCAATTCAAAATGTTTATGAATTCTGCACGCCCCAAGAAGTGAGCCCCAAATTTCCATCACATCACCCTCTTTGCCCAACCCTTTGACAAACTCGTAGGCTTCAACCACTCTCCCAACCCTCCCTAACATGTCTGCTATACAGCAATAGTGTGCCGATAGTGGTTTAATATTGTATTCCCTTTTCATTGAATCATATATCGAAAGACCTTCGTTAACCAAACCAGCATAACTGCAGGCAGACAAGACTGCAACAAAGGTTATGGCATCAGGTGCAATGCCAGATTTCTGCATTGAGTGAAACAAAGAGAGAGCTCTCTCACCCATTCCATGCTGACCGTAACCCAGTATCATTGTGGTATATGTGACAGAGTTCTTCTCATGGGATCCGGCGAAAACATTGTCAGCATTAGTGACTGCACCACATTTGGAATACATGTCAATTAGAGCAGATCCCACGAAGACGTTTTGGTCAAGGTAGTGGCGGATAGAGAACCCATGGAGTTGCTTACCCATATCTATGTTTCCCACTGGATTACAAGCTGGGAGAACCGATGCTAAGGTCACAGCATTTGGTATTAGATTTTGCTCAAGCATCTGCCTAAAGACAAAGAAAGCTTCTTCAGATAGCCCATTCTGTGTGTACCCAGCAATCATAGAATTCCATGTAGCCTGATCTCTATCACGGCTGTAGTCCTTTTTGAAAACCCGTTCTGCGATCCTTACTGAACCAGATTTAGCATACATGTCGATGAGATAACTGTCCATCCCCTCAAATTGTATGTCATGCCTAATAAGATAAGCATGAGTCTGCTTTCCAATATCTGGATTTCTAAGATTTGATGAAGCCGAAAGTAGAGCAGTTACAGTTACTGAATCAATCATGAACCTTTGCTTTTGCATCTCATAAACAAGCATCAAAGCTTCATCATCTAAACCATTTTGCACAAATGCAGAAATCATAGTATTCCATGAAACAACATCCCTCTCGGGCATCTTATGAAAAATTTTGAATGACATGTCAACAGAATTGCACCTTGAATACATTACGATAGTCGCATTGAGTAAAATAACGGGCATCAATCTCAAATGCTTGATGATAAAAGCATGCAGCTGTCCAGCTAATTCCAACTGTTGCATCTGTGAACATGCAGTTAAAACTGATAGGAAAGTCACCTCATCAAGAATAGCCAGTTCTGAGTTTACAGCTTGAAAGAAGAGGTCGATCGCTTCAATAGGATGGTTATTTTGAACATATGCACCGATCATAGTGTTCCAAATCTCTGTATTTCTCTCCGAACAATGGTCAAAAATCTTCCTAGCATATTCAAGGCAACCAAGCTCGGCATACATAAATATTGCCGAGCTCACAACAAACAAGTCAGTCACATATTCCCCACCCAACCTAAGAAGCATACTGTGTAGAACATTCGCGTTCTTATAGTCTCCCATAGCGGAAAGCGCAGGGAAAACATTGACAAAACTGACAGCACTCGGTGTTATTCTCATTCCCATCATCATCCTAAACTGCTTCACTGCTTCTGCATATCTTTCCGTCTTAACATACCATGAAACCAGCGTATTCCAAGCAACCACATTTCTCTTGCGCATCGTATCAAACACCCTACGCACTAAATCATACTGTGAATAATCAAAGTCATTATAACAAGCAGAGTACATATTCAAAAGCGAATTGCACACAATCCTACTGGGGTTCGGAAGACACCGAAGAACATGGCAATGCAGGGCTTTACCCATCTTGAAATTGCGCGTGTCGGCACAGGCTTTGAGGGTAGAAGAGTAAGTGTAAGGGTCGGCCTTGGTGCCGGGAGAGGCGGATTTCATCTGGGAGTAGAACAAGAGGGCTTCATTGGGCATGTTGTTGCAGATGAATCCAATGATGATGGTGTTCCAGAGCACGCAGGAGGGGCGAGGCAAAGTGTCGAACAGTTGGCGAGCAAGGTGGGGTTGGCCTTCCTGGCAGAGTTTGCTGAGGCGGGAGCGGATGGTGGGGGTTTTGAGCTTTGCGAGGGGGAGGATTGGGGAGGAGAGGTGGTCCGGGGCGGTGGCTGTGGTGGTTTGAGTGGTGGGGGAGGGTGTGGAGAGAGGAAGAGGAAGAGCAGAGGAGGCCATGGCTATTGATGTGTGTGAGTTGCCCTGTTATTTTCCCTCCTAAATTGTGGATTGGGATTATCCTTTTTTTGGTTGGTTGGTTGGTTAGTTGTTAGTCTGCTAGGCTTCCGTTTCCTTGAACTTTTAACTTTCATTTTCTAACCTCTTTGCCCTCTTTACCGAGAAAAATTTGTGTGAAGTCTGACTTGCCACTGTACTTTGCTGAGTGGCACTACAATCCAGTTAAAACTCGTCACATAGCAACTATTAAATATAATCTTTTATCATTCTTTTATAATAATTCTCATAATTATTTTTCTTACTAATTAATATACATCATAAGATCAATCTAATTGTTCATTTTTTTTTTTCTTCTTCTCCTCTCTGTCATTTTTCTTCCCAAAATTTCCCCGTCATCTTCTTCCCTCATTGTTTCTCCTCTCTCTAAATACAAATTGTAGACTCGAATCAAATACCTTCAAAGCATGATGACACAATATGCCCTTAGCTTCAAACATTTTACAAGAGCAGGAAACGATATGGATTGAAGTATGAGAGATAAACTCAATTGTGTTCCCTCTTTTTTGACCTTCTTTGGTTGCTTATAGATAGTAACTCGTTCATTACTAACTTCTCTTAACCTTAATGTCAAGCAACTCATGTAGTCAATTTTAAAGAACTTGAATACTTTATTTGCTTTCCATTATAAAAGTGAAAACTCACGGGAAAAAAAATTGCAGAGAACTAGAGTCAGATTCAAATTCCACATAATTAGTGCAACTTGAAACAAAAATTTATATGAGATACATCAAAAGAGGGATGAGAGTAGGGAACCGATGCTCACACCAGATTTTGGAACGTGGATAAAGCCAGGCCAGACAAGGATTAAACTGGAGGAAGAGAAGTGGGAGAGAGAGAAGAAAGTGAAGACTCATGTCAAAACATAAACTCTTTAGATTGATCTTGCTATATTTGGGGTGCAGAACTTTTTTGGGCAACATAACTTTCTTAAAGAAAAATTGGGAAGGAAAAAAAAAAGAATCATTAGATTGATCTTATGGTGTACATTAACTGGTAAAAAAAAATAATTATGAGAATTTTACATATAAAAGAATGATAAAAGATTATATGTAAGACTTGCCACGTGAAGAGTTTTAAGTGAATTGTAGTGTCACTCAGCAAAGTCCAATGGCAAACCAAGTTCCATACAAGTTTTTTTCCTCTTCACCAAAGTAAAAAAAAGTGCACAACATATACCGGATGAATAAATGTGCGTTTAAAAATTAAATATCTATATAGTATAAATGGATATCAAAATTATTCTTACTCTTAACTTACATGTGTTTGCTAAAATATGAGTACCACATCAAAATTACTCTAACATGAGACTATTAAATATGAACAATATATTTTCTTCAACTAATGTCAATCAAATATAATTTTCCTCTTCAACTAAAATCAAATCACTTGCCAAAGGTTACCAAGGGCAAAAGGTATTGATTTACTTAATCATAATATTAAAAATATGTTTTAACTTTAAACAAAATACCCCTAATCCGGTTTAGTGCATGTTTGAACTTTTTTTTTAACTAAATAAAGAATGATTAGATGAGATTAACTATTTGATCATCATCAGTAAAGAAATGACCGTTGCACCTAAACCCCTCCCTCTGTACCCCTCTACTAGTTTTTATTAATAAAAATGAAGAAAAAGAAAACAAACAGGGGCTAGGCAAATACCCGCAAAAGAAATATATGTGCAGAATAAAACCCACTTGACGAAGAGGCCATAAACAATTATTCCAATCAACCAACAAATACCAACAATAGTTAGAGCCTTAGACAAGAAGTGAAGAACCATAGTGGGATCAGCTTCTATCCAAAGGTGCTTCCATTCACGAACCCAAAAACTACTCGAACCACCTCAATAAGCTAAAATTTCTGCAACAATTGGACTCACAAAACTTGTAGTAAAAGCACCAAGAACCTAACCTACACTTGTACGTAATGACCCTCCAAAACCAGCTCGTCCATTGTTACAAGAACCATCAATATTTACTTCAACGCAGCCTGTCTGCGGAAGCTGCTAGTAAACTGAAACAAAAGTAGGTGTCATAGCCAAAAGTGGAGAAACGCCTTGCAAAGACATAATAGTTAAGGAAGTAGAGATCGATCGCTGACTAGAAAAAGCATACCAAACTAATTCGCGAAAACGATTAGTGAACAAACTTTTCGTAAACACCAAGGTTACCTCAAGCTCTTCAAACTAGGATTCTAGACTGATTTTGAAAGCTAAACAAGTTTATGGCTGATAAGCTTATATTTATATATATTTTATATCAAATTCATTTGCCTTTTCTTAGTTAGTTCCTTATATTTTTGAGTTATTTACTTTGTTTTTGTGTTTTGTAGGATTTGTCAAGTAAAGAAAAGAAAAATAACACAAGTGGAATTTTAAGTAATAAATTCGTCAAAACTGCTTGTGCAGGTCAGCTGACTTTGGAAGCAAGTTGCGGACAGCTCAGAATGAATTAGAGAATGAGCCTTATATGGTTGGAAAGCTACAAATGTCTATTTTCTCGAGCATTTCACAGATTGTTAATATCATTTTTCTAGAAGAAGTTATGGCCGTTTTAACATTGAAAGGTTCCCAAGAGGCTGAGCAGTTTGTAACTGACAAGAAAGCATTGAAAGCAATAAATCCAATAAATCTAGCAGCCAAAACTGATGCAATCAAGAACAAACCAGCTGAAACCTATTTAAATATCAGAGGCAATGAAATTAAAGATGAGGATTAAGAGGGAGTTATTGGCATAAAGGCTACCCAAGGAGTTACAATTGTTTCACCATTTCCTCTCACTTATTGTCATCACTAAATGGCTATTAGTGGATGAGTTAAGTAGAAGAAAATGATGCAGCAAGAATTGGTTTAAAAGTAGTTTTGGGGAAGAAGAAAAGGGGGAAGCCTTAGTCGATTTCTTTCGGTTCTATTTTCTCAAACTCATGTCTATCTTTTGTTTTAACTTAAGGATTGTGTAACTAAATTTTTAGTAGTTAGGGGCTGTTTGAAGCCCCAAATATGATTGCAAGTTTATTATAACATTTCGTTTGAATTACTTTTATGATTGGATGAAAATTGGTTCACTACTTGTCTCATTGATGAATTCTTTATGTGTTTTCTACGGATGCATACTTAGTAAGCATATCTAGGATTCTAATGCTATGAATATGTGTGTGCCTGCCCTTGCCAAATGAGGACCTACATATGTTCTAGAGTAGTACTTGTTAATTGCAATTAACATGTGAACCAATTTCTAGGATAAGTAAGACAACGCCAGTACTTACAATGTCTTGTGATGACTCAAACTCTTTTCGTTCTTAATGATTTCTACTTGTTAAATCTATGAACACACCATTCTAGATTGCATGTTAGGGACTAAGTTAAGTTGAAAACGTCATTCTCTTAACATACTACATAGGAAAGAGTAATAGGTTGAGTTCTAACATTGAGCCAACTTGAGCATCTTCATCCGGAAATAGAAGGAATTTGAATGAAACATAACATGTTTGCATGATTATTTGGTGGTGGATAGCAATTCCCCTAACTCGTTTTTCTTAATTTGCGAACTACTTAAAATCTGTTTTTGTCCTGTTTTTGTTCGATTTAATTTAAATAGCAAATCACCTCCACAAATCCCAAAAATTTGTGTGAGTATAGCTATGTGTGTCTAGTATATGCATATAAAATTTCGTAGACTTTAGATAAGTGTAAGTCAGTCTAATAATTATTTTTCGGTGGCTGGTCAGTAGGGACAACATCCCAGTTTTTGTGACATTCTAAGTAGTTAGATAAAACAATCTTCTGCGGGAAAGACCCTTATTTTCATATGCTACAATTGATAAATCTTATTATTAATAAGGAAAATTAATAGGACATTTGTGTGCTACTTTGTGGTGTGCTTTTAATCCTATCAATGGCAGTATTTGGCAAGAAAAGGAAAGAGATCCTCTCTCCGGATCTCTTCCACTAACGCCATCGGATCAAGTGATTCGGGTCCTTAAAATTTGATTCAACAGCTCAAAACAGGTACCTATTTTAAAAGTTATAATAACTTTAGTCGTTGGATCAAATTTTAAGGGTCCGAATCACTTGATCCGGTGGCCTTGGTGAAAAAGATCCAGATGCAAGAAAAAACCTAAAAGTGTATGCTTCATAATAGTATTTGTTTTTGTTATTTTATGGAAAATTTGTTGAAATATCTCACATTGAGCGTATCTCTGTAAAAGAAGAGTTTATATATCTCAATCCCACAACAACTAATACTGAGGCTTTTTGTGATAAAACTCCACACCTAACAGATTGTGTAGGTGGTAATTACCAAGTTGGGAATAATATCGGTGTTATTGGAAGTGGACATTTGAACCGTCTCTCTGATACTTCTACATGGTATCAGAGCCAAAGAGCGGGTCCGTAATGTATTGCCACATGACGGGTGAGTCCCCTTGGTCTTGCGCAATGATGGTGGGTACCTTGGCCTCGTGTGTAGGGTGAGTCCATGTAGTTGTCGATGTGAAGATCTTCCACATATGACCCACTAATTATGAAGCACTTGGATTTTTTTATTTATTTATTTTTTGCTTCTAGTTCTTTCTTGTCCTCTTTGATCACTTTGGACTTGTTGGAAAAATTATATTTCACAATTGTAGCACATGGTTTTTTCGTTGTTCTCATATATTTCGAGAAGAGAATGCGGTTGCTAATAAGTTAGCAATTTAGGCCTCCTCTTGCCTTATACTTGTTTAGCATGCGACCACCTCTAGAGACTTTTCCTTTTCCGCATTGGAATTTTTTGAGCATGCACTCCTACAAATTTGTCCCCCCTTCTTAGTGGATGATTTTCTTTTCTTTTTTCCTAATCCTTTTGGTTTTTTTGTTTGCAAGCTCTTACCTTGTAGTTTTTATTTAAAAGGGTTTTGGTCTAATGTGCCCCCCCCCCTTCCTTCCTCTCTTTGTATTTTTTTTTCCTTCAAAGCATAAAGTTATGTCGCTTTAATTAGGTGGATTTTTTTTTTTCATATCAATAAAATTCTCTTGTACCTTGAGGCTTTCTTTAAAAAAAATAAAA